GTAATTTAGGATGGCCTCGAACTTTTGATCTTCTTGCTTCTTGCTCACATGTGCCAGGATTGCAAGTGTGTAGCACTACTGTAAGGAGCCTGTAACCAGGCAGGCAAAGGCCTGCCTGAAGGGAGATTAAGACAAGCTTAAAACCAGGCAGGCGAAGGCCTGGCTGGAGAAGGATTAAAGGAAGTATAGGCCCACTACCCGACTATTGGAGATAAGAGTGAGAAAGTGTGGCAAGGTGTGATTAGCAAGATTTAGAAAGCTATTTAAGGAACCAGCTCAGAACTGGGAACTTTAGAGTGTACCATGACTCTATGTCCTGGAGCTCTCCACTGCTAACCTGAAACAACCAGTCCATCAAGCTAAGAGCTACCCCGTCTAAAACCCGGATACCACGACTTTGGGGCCCTCAGAATGACTGGACCACCTGAATTCAGAGGAACACAAGTCCGGAGCCCAAACCGGCTGCCACTGCAGAATACTTCCTGCTTAGTGTCTATGGTTCTTAAGATTGTTTTCTTATGTTCGTTGTGTTACTTTGACATAAGTGTGAAGTAAAACTTATATACTCAAAACCAACTCCCTGAGTTTGTCATTCCTCCAGGGTTAAAACCTGGTAAGGGCTCCAGACAACTACACACACATACCCTTTTAAGATTTAGTTTTATTTTTGTGTCTGTCTGCATTTGGTCTGATTGGAGCTGTGCACCTGTGGGGTGGGCGTGTGACCCCAGATGCCAGAAGAGGAAATCTATCCTCTGGAGCTGGAGTTTCAGACAGTTAGCTAAACTTCGGTCCTCTACAAAAACTGCAAGTATCCTTAACCCTGAGCCAGCTCTCCCGCCCTCTCTCTCTCTTTCTCTTTTCTTCTTCATATTTTATTTATTTATTTATTGAGACAGGGTTTCTCTTTGGCTTTGGGCTGTCCTAGAACTAGCTCTTGTAGACCAGGCTGGTCTCAAACTCACAGAGATCCACCTGCCTCTGCCTCCCGGGTGCTGGGACTAAAGGTGTGTACCACCACTGCCTGGCTCTCTCTCTCTTTTTCTTAAGATTTATTTTATTATTATTTTTAAGCGTGTGTGTGGGGGGGGTGCATGTGAGTGCAGTTGCCAATGGAGGCCAAAGGCATTGGATCCGTGGAGCTGGAATTACATACAGTTCTGAGTTGACGTATGTGTTGGCAATAGAACTCAAGAGTTTTGCAAGAGCAGGACATGCTCTTATCGCTGGGCCATCTCTCCAGCCTCCCAGCCCTTTTTAAAGTCCTGCTGGGCACCAAATCCAGGGCTTCATGTTAATCCAGGAGCCTCACCCCCATCACCTAGGCCAATATTTCTTGTGTATATTCTTTCTAATCCCAGGAATCTCTGTGTGTGGGCTTCATTATCTGAAGAATTCACAATGAGCCCTTTGGCAGACGCCCGGGCCTGCCGAGGCATGTGCTCACACAGGGACGCATAGACTCACCACCTTCTGTGCTGCCCTGAGGGCGTGCATTCCAAGAAGGCACACAGCCTGACAGGAAGCAAGGTTTTCCTCATACTTAGCTTCTTAGGTGCAGGGTATAAGCTGTAAACCTTAGCTGCTCTTCCAGATCCCAAACAGACTTCAATTTCGGTGCCTTTTTCTTTTTCCTTTTTGCAAGTAGGTCTTACTATGTAGTCCAAGTTGCCTCCATCTCCTGGGTGGCAGTATGACAGAAAGACAGACTACAGCAGATTATGTTTCAGGCAACCTTCTTGGGTGAATGATGGAGCAAACAGGCTGAGGGCTGACCTCAAAGGGAAGAATACATTAATACAAATGACTTAGAGCCCACACCGAAGTACCAGCTCCTCAAGGGGCTAAGACAGGAGGATGGCAAGTTCAAAGCCAGCCTGGTCACCTTAGCCAGGTCCAGCTCAAAACTCAAAGGTGAGAGCTGGTGGGATGGATCAGTGGATGGCACTTGCCACCAAGCCTAAAGACTGGAGTTTGATCCGATGGACCCACATGGTGGAAGGGGAGGAGTGACCCCACTACCATGCTTTGGTGTGTGCACTCATACATATGGAAATAAGCAAATGGTGAAAAGGTGTGAGGATTTAGTTCTGGGGTAGAGCTCTTCTTGCCTGTCATCCCCCAGAGAGGGTCTAGGGCATGGCTCAGCAGTCCAGTGTTTGCCTAAATGAAGCCCCAAGCTTGATCCTCAAACAACAAAACACAAACATACTCACTCATGGCTGGGCTTATAGCTAAATAAGTCTGACCGTTAACCAAGATTTGTTGCCTGTCCCTTTTCAAAGATTATTGGAAACTTGAAGAGTTGTGTTCAGGAATTGGTTTTCAATTCTCCCTTTCCCCAGTGTATGATTCCAGAGATCGGGCCCAGACCTTGTGCTGGGCCAGTGCGCTAGCACTAACTATATCCCAACTACCTTTTCTCTTCTATTATTTTCCATTTTATGCCTGAATTTTGTCCACATGTATGTGTGCACACATGCATGCAGTGCTCTGGGAAACCAGAAGAGGGCGTCGAGTCCCCGGAACTGAAATTACAGCTGGCTGTGAGCCGTCATGTGGGTGCTGGGATTTGAACCTGGGTCCTCTGAAATAGCAGCTAATGCTCTTAACTGCTGAGCCATCTCTCCAGTCAGCCCCTTGCCTTTATTTTTATTTCATGACAGGGTCTCACTAAGTTGCCTAGGTTGTTTTTTACCTTTTAAATCTATTATTAGTATTGTTATTATTAGTTTCAAGACAGGGTTTCTCTGTGTAACTGTCCTGGAACTTGCTAGACAAGGCTGGCTTCAAATTCAGAACTCACAGAGATCCGTCTGCCCCTGCCTCCCAAGTGCTGGGATTAAAAGTGTGTGCCACCACCACCTGGCTGCTCTCATCATCATCATCATCATCATCATCATCATCATCATCATCATCATCATTTTTTGTCTATGTAGCCCTGGCTAGTCTGGAACTCATTATGCAGATCAGGCTGGCCTCTCACTCACAGAGATCCTCCTGCATGTGCCTGCTAGGTGGTAAAGTTAAATGGCACCATACCCCACTAAATATTACTTTTTGTTTTATGTAGTTAAGTGTCTGCCTCCATATACATACATACATACATACATACATACATACATACATACATAGTGTGTGTGTGTGTGTGTGTGTGGTGCCCAGGGGAGGCCAGAAGAGGACAGCAAATTTAAAGGCACAAGAGTTAAAGACAGATGTGAGCCTCCATGCAGGCTGGGAATGAACCCAGGTCCTCTGGAAGAGCAGCAAGCACTCTTAACCCCTGAGCCATCTCTCCAGCCGAGAGTCGTTTATCTTCTGAGTGTCACCCCTGACAGGATGACTCTGCCTGCACCCAGGCTCAGTGGGCAGAACCAACTGGACTCAGTGAGTTAGATCTGATGAAGAGAATATGATGGGGGGAGTGGGGCAGGTGGGGACACAGGGAAACATGGTGAGTAGGGGCTGGCACGATCAAGGTACATTGTATACACTAGGAGATTGACAAAGGGTAAATAAAGATCGTCTAAGCCAATGGCGCTCAACCTTCCTAATGCTGCAACCCTTTAATACAGTTCCTCATGCTGTGGTGACCCCCCCAACCACAAAATTGTTTTGTTGCTACTTCATAGCTGTAATTCTGCTACTGTTATAAATCTTATATATCTGATATGTGGAATATCTGATATGAAGGATATCTGATATTTGACCCCCAAAGCAACCCACAGGTTGAGAACTGCTGGAATTTAAAAAATAAAAGAGCACTGGCTGTTCTTTCAGAGGTCCTGAGTTCAATTCCTAGCAACCACATGGTGGCTCACAACCATCCGTAATGAGATATGATGCCCTCTTCTGGCCTGCAGGCATATATGGAGGCATAATGTTGTATATAATAAATAAATAAATCTTTTAAAAATAGATAAATAAAAGTTGGGTGTATCAGCACGTTTTTAACTTCAGTTCTGAAGTGAAGAGGCAGACATATCCCCCAGGACTTGATACCAGGCAGCCAGGCTGGTGAGACTGAAAAAGGAAAAAGAAAAGTCAGGGCCTGGAGAGAAGGTGAAGCAGATGCTGCTCTTGTAGAGGACCCAGATTCCATCAGCACCCACATGGTGGCTCACAGCCATCTTTAACTCTAGTTCCAGGGATCTGGCTATCACTTCCGGCTCCCACAGGTACCAGACATGCATGTGGTGCACACAGAGACATGCAGGCAAACGATTTGTACCAATAAAATAAAAACAAGTAAATCTTAAAACAATCTAAGAAAGAATGACAGGGACAGAGAAGTGGCTCAGCAGGGAAAGGCACTTGCCACCAAGAATAATGTGAATTCAGTTCCCAGAACTCACACAATGGAAAGAGAGAACCAACTCCTGCAAATTGTACATAGTGAGTAAATAATAATATAAGCTACATACACACACACACACACACACACACACACACACACACACATATTTTGAAAGTTTTTAAAAAGATGCATTGGTGGGAGGAGTGCTGAGGATGTAGCTCAGTGGGGAGAGTGTTTGCCTAACACACCTGGAGCACTGGTTTTCATGCCCACCGGTGCATAAAGACTACCCATAGTGATACGTGCCTGTAATCTCAATATTAGGGGCCATGGGGACAGAAGGATCAGGAGTTTACGGTCATCCTCAGCTACACAGTAATTTCAAAGCCATCCAGGATGACATGAGACCCTGTGTCTTTTTTCTCTGTGTAGCTTTGGAGCTGAGACCCTTCTCAAAAACTAAAATTAGATCCTTCTTCAAAAGGAGATGTCCCAAGGCAGAAATGATGGAAGCATGGCAGATGCTGAGGCCGAAGGATCGCCTGTGGCCAGGGCTGCAAAATAAGACTATCTCAGGACTACGGCAAAGCCAAACAACAAAACTAAGGCACAGGGGTGTGGGGTTAAATCATACAACAGATAGAGATGGGGCTGTAGCTCAGTTGGCAGAGTGCATGCTTAGCATGCACAAATCCAGAGTGAGTTCAAGCCTTATAAACTTTATAAACAGGGCATGGAGTTCACTGCAATCCAGGACTCAGGAGGCGGGGGGGAGCAGGGGCATCAGAAGTTCAAAGCCATCCTAAGCTTATCAGGACTTGGGGTCCAGCCTGGGTTACATGAGACCCTGTCTAAAAATAGGGTCAATTTCCCGTGAAACCTGGGCCATGGGTGGCTGTGGGTGACCGTCCTGGCGTACTGTGGTGGGGTAGATGGTATATCAGGACCTGTATACCCGGATGCTCAGACCGTGAACTTGCCCTCTTTGATCATTTCCCACTTCTTTTCAAAGTGACATCTGGGATGATGTCCCTGTTGAGTCCTTTTTAGATGCTGATACATAAAACCCAAAGCCACCTTGTGTCCTACTTAACAGTTGTGACTAGGAATGTCTCTGAAGGAGACTGAGGGAAAGGTGACTCAAATATGGTGCAGAGTAAAAGTCTTTTTCTTTCTTTTTTTTCCAAGATGGGGTTTCTCTGTGTAAGAGCTCTTCGATGTCCTGTAACTTGTTTTGTAGACCAGACTGACCTGGCACTCACAGAGATCCACCTGCCTCTGCCTCTGAGTGTTGGGATTAAGAGCGTGGGAGAGCCTCTTCTGCATGTCCCAGACCACTGGTGTTCCCCAGGAAGCTCCCAGCCAGGCCAAGTTAACCTCAGAAAGGCAAACTGAGTGAAGCTAGCCGCAGAACATAGATGTGGACATGATGATCCTGTAGGCGTTACTGCCTGTTCAGGGAGAGACCTTGGGGACTTTGTGCAAGAGTTCCCACAGCTGACACTGGGAACAGCCAGGATTCAGAATCAAAGCCATTCTACCTGGCCAGGCTGTTAGGTGGCAATCAGCTGAGGCGTGGTGGCCAATACTGTAATTCCAGCACTTGGGATGTGGAGGTAGAAGGACTATATTGTGAGTTCCAGAACAGCGTGGACTACTTTAGACCTAGGAAAAAAGAAAGAAAAAAGTTAAAAAAAAAAAAGGGGGGGGTGTTGGAACCCAGCCCCATGAGGTCTCTAAGAGTTGTTTTCCAGCATAACCACAGGTTTTCATGACCTCACCCCACTGGGATCAATATCCTGTTGTGAACCCTTTGACCTGGGGTTTTTGTGAGTTTGTATATAAGGCTGCTCCACAATAAAGGTGAGCGACATTCTCTCAGAAAAGGATAAGGAGTCTTGTGGTTCATCCAAATTTCTAGGATTTCACCCAATACTTGGACTTAGTGGCCAAGAGCAGCCACAAATGGAGGTTCCACCAAGATCAGGAAAGAAAG